TGATGCCACGGGACTCTAGCCCGGGCAACAGAGTAAGACTCTGTCTCAAAATAAATAAATAAATAAAAATAAAACCTAATGCAGTAATCCAGGCAGGCAATAAGGGCAGCTTGGAGCAGGGAGGAGAGGGAGAGAAGTGGATGGATTAAGAGATACGCAGAAGGTAAAACCAACAAGACTTATTGCATTACTAGATTTAGGAGGAAAGAGAGGTGTCCGGGTTGGCACCCCAGTTTCTACCTTGTTGTGGCTGGAGGATGGTGCTGTCAGGTGCTGTGTTAGGGAATACTGAAGGAACCAGACTTTGATAGGCAAACATGAGATCAGTTTGGAGCACATTGAATTTGAGATGTACAAGTAAAGATATCTAAAAGCAGTTATTTATAGGTACCTATTTCTCAGAAGAGAGACCTGAAGATAAAGATTTTGGATTCTTTGAAGAATGGCATGGAAGAGATCGTCACGGTAACCATATTTAACTTCTTGTGTTCCTTGAACGGAGCAGCCCTGTTGATGTCTGTGTCATTGCCCAGCAACGACACTCTACAGAGTGGCTGACCCATTCCCCTGACCCAAACTTAGCTTAAGGGTCATCTCCTTGAAGACTTTCCTGATTATTAACAACTCCCTTCTTTGTGTTCCACAGTGTCCTCTATGCACTTTTTAACTTGAGATTTGCTTTTAACCCAACTCTGATATGTTTCTTCCTACTCCAAACCTTCTGATTGATTTTCGATGCACTTAGAATAAAGTCCAAACTCTTTATTATCACTTATAAAACCCTAAATTATCTGATACCTGATATTTTTCCAACCTTATTTTATTCTCTTCTCCCCCTTGCAAGCCACATATAGAATTTTAAAATTTCCAGAAGCCACGTGAAAAAGGTAAAAAGAGGCAGGTGATATTTATTGAAGTAATCTATTTTACTTAATTCATCATATCCAAAATAGTATCATTTCAACACAAAATCAGTGCAATACGTAAATTGTTAACGAGCTAGTTCAGATTCTTTCTTTCCACAAGACGTCTTTGAAGTTTGCTGTGTATTACACACTTACAGCACATCTCAGCTCTGACTAGCACATCTCAAGTGCTCAGTAGCCACGTGTGGCTAGTGGCTGCCATGTTGGACACCATAGCTATTGACACACTAATCTTTTCTGCCTTTAGAACATGCCAACCTCATTCTGGCTTCGGGGCCTTTGCACTCACTGTTCTCTTCGTCAAGAGTGCTCTTCGGTTTAGATCTTCCCCAGATATCTGTGGCTACCTCTGGGGCATTCAGATCTCAGCTCAAAATCATCTATGAGGCCTTCCTTAGTCACCCAGTCTGAAGTACTTCCTGCCCCTAAGCACATTGCCATGATGCATTATAGTCAATCCTCATTATTCACAGATTCACCTACTCACTGAAATTTATTTGTAACCCCGAAATCAATATTTGAAGTGCTTTCCTGGTCACTTGTGGACTCGTGCAGAGCAGTGAAAAATTTGAGTTGCCAGGTTTGCATTTTCCTGGCTGAGCTTGAACATGGCAGCACTCTGCCTTCTTGTGTCAGCTCTCGTATGGTTAGCAAGTATGCTTTTCGCTATTTAGTGCCATGCTTTTTGCATTGTTGTGCTTTTTGTTGATGATTTTGCTATCGAAAAAGCCCCCCAAGTGTAACGTTGAAGTGCTCTCTGGTGTTCCTAAGTGCAAGAAGGCTGTGATATGTCTGTGGAGAAAATACACATGTTAGATAAGCTTCATTTAGGCATGAGCCATCGCACTGTTGGCTTGAGCTCAATGTTAATGAATCAACAATATATATATTAAATAAGATGTCTTTAAATAGAAACACACATAAAACATGGTGATGTATTCATTGATTGATGAAGATGTTGTGACCAAAGGCTCACAGGAACCTAACCCTGTGTTTACCGTAGGAACAATGGTTCAGTATTCCCTAACATTAGCGTTCATAGTGACTTTGTAGAACTCACCTGTCGCCAATAAAGAACTTTACTTTCATCGTAGTTTATCTCAAATAAACTTGGTTCATTTATTTCCTTACCATTGTCTGTCTCAGGAGAACAGGGGCCTTATCTGGTTTGGTTCACGGTTATATCCTCAGTGCCTGACATGCTAGGCATCCAGTACTTTTTTGTTAAATGAATAAATGGATGTATGAAGAATGAATAAGTGAACAAGCATTTATTTTACATTTCCCTTTATTTCTAAGCTAGGTGATAAAATAATTTAAAAGTATTTGGAATATTAAAAAATGTTCAAATACACCCATATTTTGTAATTATTACAAATATGATAATTATTTTATTCTTATCAGTTTTAAACAATTAGTTTATCTCAACCCTGATTCTCTCTGTTGTTAATTTGAGAAGACATTTGTTTTGAGTGATTTGTTTTATTGCCTGCCCTAGAACACATGTCCTCTGTTCTTTTTATTATCTCTTCCTACATGTGCTTTTTCTTAACGGTCCTTTTATTAGTCCTATAAAGCATTCTTAATTTTTCTCTTTCCACTAGAATTAGGTAGTGACCATGTTTACAGAAAACATCAGATCAAAAACATTTGGTTTTTCATTATTTCAGCACATTCCTTAAGTTATACATTCTTGTAGCTGCGAGCTTTTTTTAAAAAAGGCTTTTTATTACAAAAAATTTCAAATATACACAAAAGCATACAGATAATAGTATAATGAATCTTCATGTATTTATCATGTGTACTCTTTTTTTTTAAAAGAAACCAGTTTTAAGAAAGTTTTCTCTTGATCTGGTAGGATGAAATGCCCCACAAGGGCTATTGTTTGGTGCAACTCAGTCTGGAATGTTCAGAAATGCAAGTGTCCACTGGAGGGTACGAGGTGTTTATTGTTGGTCCCTGGTTGCCTCTTCTGTCCTGGAAGGAGTGTTCTAAGAGGGAAAGGAGCTGAAAGAAAGTTGTCTGGTCATCTTCACCCTTGCAAACAGACGGAGAAAGAAGTTCTTAAGAATGGAGTCTGGATCATGATTTTAATAGTCTTTTAAGACTTGGGAAATTATAATGTACTCCACATTTTAGTTTAGTTTTGTTGTCATTTTCATTATTTTTGTTGCCCTTGTGATTGTCTTGTTTGTTTTCTCAGGTTTTTAGCAACAAATCCTATGAAATCAAAAGAGCTTGTGGTCAAGAGCATCAAAGAAAGAATGAGCCACTCTCTTTGTTGCTTGGAAAGAGGATCAAGCCCAAGAATAGACAGGGTGGTGGCAGCATTAGGGAACAGGCCTCTGAGCCTTGCTGGGGAAGGAGGCGCAGGCCAGGGCCAGAGGACTTGTCAGGCCAGGCTGGAGCAGCCCAGCCCTGAGTTGGGATTGTCCCCTTCCCTTCGCTTGCTCCCCTGACTGCCTAACGCTTCACCCCCACTCCCCAGCCCTTTCCTGCCTGGTCTCCTCCCTCCCCTTTAACTCCCAACACTGCCGTCTCAAGCAAACCCAAGATCTCATCACCAAATCCAAAGTCCTTGCCCTCTTTCTTTTTGGCTCATGTTCTCCTGTTACAATGCACAGCCTCCCCAGGACTGGACACCGCTGGCTTCTCAGGAGCAGCCTTCCCTGGAGATGGCTCTCCACCTCTCACAACTCCCTCAGCTCCCAGGCTACCTTCCTGCTCCCTCTTCTGCCTTGTTCTGCTCTTCCCTCTGCCCTCACCTCCCCGCCCTCCTCCCACATCCTTGTTTTTCCCCTCCCTCCCTGCTGGTGTGCAACACACCAGTGCCTGCTCCAGCTATGTTAAACGACATTCTTGAGCCATGTTGTCTCTCACCTGGAGAGAGAGATGCTTTTTTCTGTGCTTTTCCTCTAGTAGGAGCCATCTCCCCCTCCTCCTCCTCCCCCTCTTCCTCCTCCCCCTCCTCCTCCTCCTCCCCCTCCTCCTCCTTCTCCTTCTCCTCCTCTCCCCCTTCCTCCCTCTCCCCCATGCCCTTGCTTTGTTAGCTTCCTCCAGAAAGGCTTCCCTAATGCCCAAGACTGCGGTAGGATTCCCTCCCGTGTGCTCTGTAGCATCCTGTATCATTTGCCCATCATAGCGCTTACTAAAATGGTATTATCCTTTTTCTTATCTGTATTTCTTTTCCTGGATCCTAAACTCCTCAAGGGCAGGAACTGTTCTGTTCAGCATATTTCTCCAATGCCTTGTGCAATTCTTGGCATTAGAATCAACCCTAAGTAAATAATTTATTTTTTATGAATGAATGAGCATTAGCTGAATCTGGCTCTCTCTGACTCTTTTATTGTGATAGTTGGAAAAAGTGGGTGTAAAATGCCCAGCTAGGAGCCTGGAAAATAGGTGTTCAATAAACTGTAACTAGTGGTGGTTGTCATTCTTTGCCATTGCCACTGGACTCCTGAGAGTAGGAGCTACATCTTGCTCACGTTGTACTCTTTTCAGAGTTTAGCAATGTCTTGCACACAACAGACACCCATTAAAATATGTGATTGAAATGAATATATGTTTAATATATTAAACAAGCAGGATACATGATTGAACATTCTTCTGGGTTCGTGTTTAGAATAAAAGTAATTGCTATCTTGAGGACTTGTTTATTTTCCACAGAGCGTAGAATTTGTCTTTTTTTTCGGGCACAAATAAATGCATTTTATAATGGTAATATTTTTGAGCGAATCCAACCATTCTATTTTCTTGTAGATGATAATTTGCTGTTGGGCTTTACATTTTTTTTTTTATATTGCCAAATATCTGTGACCTGGAATTTGAAAGAATTCATTAAAATATTTAAAGTTTAAAATATAAAAACATTCTGGACTATATATTTTTGCTTCATTCTTAAAGGGCTTTTGCTTTAAAATCCGAAGAATATGTATTTACATGTTATAAGTAAGCTTTTCATTTAAATTTATGTTAGCGTTTAATCTGCATGATGGAAAATAAATTAGAAAAAACATTAACCTCTGGAATACCTTGTTTTCTTTGTTTTTTGTGTCCTGTATCTGGAGTAGCATCTCATTTTCATCAGCACTGTTGAAAGAAGAAGAAAAAATGTCAGTGCTATCTCCTGAAATCAAATTTGATACTTCTAAAGTCACCAGAAATTCCCTTGACAGTTGTTTTCATTTTGAGAGTAGCTGGAAAAGAGCAGTTTTGGAAACACAAAAGATAAGGAAAGGTAACTTCATTATTATTAATGTTTTACTTAAGAAAACATAGAAATTTATTTTTTTGTATAAATTTTCTTAGAATACATGCATTTTTCAGGCAGTCAAGAGATGTTTTATAATTTCTGTGATATTTGTGTAAGAATTATATCTTAAGTTTATGGAAAAATAGAAGCAAGTTAAAATAATTTAATTAATGTAATTCTGTGACTCATGATAAAAACAAATTTTAAAGAACTACTTCTCTTAATATTCAGTATAGTACTATCTCTGTTTGATCACACTTTTTATAGTGTTTTCTTTTAAATAACTCAAGTTGATTTTTATATTTTAAGCCACTCAAATCTTTAAAATGCCTTTACATATTAATAATTTCAACCAAAACTTTATTTTTGAGCAAGTTATAGTATCTTATGTCCTATACTTGCTCAATAAAGTCTTTGAGTCTTAAAAAAGTTTGAGAACTTTTGACATGTAAATGAGTATATTAATAGCTTCCCCCTTACTTTCAAGTTATAAATGCATTTCTTGTTCATTCTGAATTCTGCCTTCAGCTTTATTAATGGAGGTATAATTCTTGAAATAACAAAATTCAAACTACTCAAGTATTTCATCTGTTCTGGTTTTGGGTGTCTGCTATACATTTTTTTCAACGTTTTCACTGGTGAAAAAGTACCCATTAAAGGTTCTCAAAAGACACCAATTTATCCATTCTCCTATCCCCCAAATCAAATTGCTGAAAAGAGAATCCGTATGTTTTTAATGAAGAGAAATTATTTTTTTCCAAAACAGCAAAAATCAAAGCTTGCAAAATAGCCTTTTGAACATTTAACTCCAGTCCTTTTAAATTACCATTTTTGTTGTTGTGCTAGACTTGCTTTGTAGAGGATGCTTAAAATTTTTTTTCTATGTTTAAAGAACAGCCAAACCTTTAACCTCTTAATCTACTTTTTCCCCTAAATGCCTTCATACTGATTTTTTAAAAATATAATTTGATGATCTCTTGGTCCATTGATATGTGAGGTCAGTAGAATAAGCAGTCATGACTCTTCAATGTTGCTTTTTATATTAATAGTTGGTATGGAATTTTGTGGAGAGAAAATTAAAATCAATGCCTGAAGTAGAATTCTTTTACCTCTCATCGCTAGCTAATCTGATCATGAATTTATAACTCCTGTTTTTAAATTTTTTTATTTTTTAGAGACAGGGTATGGCTATTGCCCAGGCTGGAATGCAGTGGCACGATCATAGCTCACTGTAACCTCAAATTAGTGCGCTCAAGCAATCTTTCTGCCTCAGCCCCCTGAGTAGCTTTTTTAAATAGAGATGGGGTCTTGGGCTATTGCCTAGGCTGATCTTGAACTTCTAGCCTCCAGCAGTTGATCCTCCCACCTCAGACTCCCAAAGTGGTAGGATTACAGGTGTGAGCCACTGTGCCCAGCCCTTATAACTCTTGATTATTTAGGTAAAAGTAGGAAAGTTGAAAGATTCAAAGTAGTAGATAAGATTCTTAAAAGTGACTTTTATTTCAATGTGAATGTACATAGAATTCTGGGAATTTTAGTTAAATAAAATAATGACCACAGAGGACAGCGAAGACTGTGGAAGGTCTGCAAAGCTGTCCTTTTTCTTATTCTAACTCTTAATCAGTCCCTTAATCTATCCCTTCTCGTAGTCCCTGTGGTAGGAATTGAAAGATTCTCCTGGGAAAGATGCTAGATAAATTATAGTTGCTTCATTTTCCTTATTTAATGGCTGATTTTGTATTGATATATTTTATTATGCATTTTAATATGTAGTAAAAGCAGTATATATTTAATCAGGATGATTATGGTAATATTTTAAATTAGAATACACCACAGCATTTGGTCTGGAAGAGGTCAAAGAATGTGTCAAAATGCCATATTTACCAGCATTGCAAAGTTACCACAAAAGTGTAAGTTCAACGCCACTAGATGTTCATAAAAGACTGCTCCATGGTGATTTCGAGATGCCCACAGTCAGGTAGGTCATTGCCCCCCAAGCCCCTTTTGTTGACTATTTATTTGTAGTAATGCTGCTGAATGTAGAGTTTTTTCTGACTTAGTGAATCTAATTCTTTTTTGACTACTGGTTTATTTCATAAAGGATTTAATTTCTTTACTCCAAGTTAGCCATTTTATGCAGTTTGACAAGTAGGCACTTTTCTCTGTTTTCAAGTGGCATTGCCAGAAAGGATTTAAGGACTTCCTTTTAAAAAGCTTGATTGCCCTCGCCTAGATTATGCCCATGAAAGCACTGGAATTTTTAGCGATAAAAAAATTAACTCTCAGTAATATTAACAGGTTTCTGTATCCTGAACACAGAACTTGTATTTCATTTCCAGTATGATTAAAGTGGTGTGAGGGGAGATTCTGAATGAGATGTTGGCCTAATTAAGACTCTGCATTGACTATCAGGAATGAATTTTTCAGCCAGGAAAGTCTCCCTGATTCGAATACTGACATTCACAAACATTATACATCCTTTTCCTGCTATAAATCAGACTGACTAACATATCATTAGAAGACAATCCCTTTCTCCAAAGGGACCTATAAGTTAGCGAGATAGTTTCATATTCTACTCAGTTTCTGCTTTGGTTTATTCATTTATTCTTCAGATATTTATTGAATATCTAGTGCTTATTCACTTTGCTAGCCTAAAATATATGAAGCACTATAGCATTCTGAGTTGCAACTTCTTTTAGGGGAAGATTTATATTTTCATATTATTTTCTCATCATAATGAACTTTCAAGTCATCCAGTTATATATAGCACACAAGATTGGAGTTTCAGAGTATATTTCTTGAGTTTTCCAACTAGTACTATTGTTCTTGTTAAATACTCTTGAAATAAATTCTGGTAATATAAATAGAAAACTAGAACATATTAAAAAGTTGTAGATAATTTTTATTTAAATTGTGAAAATAAATAAGAACTTTGCAGAAAATTTGGGGAAAAAAGAAAAACAATTATTTGGTAATCTACCCATCCTAACACATCCATCTTCATTGTTGGGTGTTCTCGTCTATCCTTCTTTTTGTCTTGGATTTTATTTTAGTTGTGATTTTAGTGTACTTGAAATTTTTTATCCTGGCTCCCCTTTTTTTGTACTTAATGTATTAATGGCCAAGTGAGTTGTATTTAACTCATGCTAGTTTTGAACTCAGAGCCTCATGAAGCACATGTAACTCACACATCTCTTTACCTTGGCAACCACTTCAACTATTTTTCAAGTTGCATGTAACTCATGCACAGAAAACAATAAAAAAATAACAAATTTTTTATTAAATTAGAAAGGACCATTTTGTTTTTGAAGTTTTTATTCTATTTTCATAATAAAACACCATGGTCCCAAGGAAAAAATTTTTTTTCTAGTGTGGCAGTCAATGTGTTAATATTACATGTATGTATTTTATCATGTCATTACATGTCCATCAAACAGTCTTACTGGCACATTATATTTCATTGATGGGTCCACAGTTTATTTAACCATTTCCTATGGTTGAATTTTAAGTTGCTTTGACTTTTTTGGCTTTGTAAATAACACCACAATGAACGATACCATACATATTGCCTTTCTTATAATTTTTAATATTATCTGAAGACATATTTTAAAGCTATAAAATATAAAAGGCAAAATTACTCTTTCGGAAGCAAGATTATAATAAAATAAGGCAGGATCAGAGATGGCCTTATCACAATAAGGTAGAAGAGAGTGAGTTGCTCGTAGAGTAGATGATAACTTAAGTCGAAGAGGAGGGATGGCAGGGATACAGAGAGAAGAGGGACCATTTGAAACCTGAGTATAAAACCTACTAAGGACAGTCAGTTTACATCATTACCAAGACACCTGTGTCCCTGACACTCAACTTACTCTTGTCATTTTTACTGGGGGTCACAGTGCCCTTTGGGGAAGGGTGGGCATGTGTAGGGCCGTCTGTGGCAATGGACTTTGTATCAGTGTGGACCAGTCTTGTTACCCTTTCTTCAATACATGTGATAGTCTTAAAGAAACTGGAACCTTAGAAAGTACCCCTATATTGGCCCATTCTACCTCTTAATTTAGGGTCTTCATTTTGCTTGCTATTATTTCTACCCTATTTCAAAGTTTTTTTGGTTTGGTTAGGATTTTCGCTGGTGATTTGACTGTGAAATTTTTTCTAAACATTTTACGTTGACTTGAGTGTGAATTTACTTAAGTCAAAGAAGGATAATTGAATATACTTTATTCATGTTATGACAAGTGCTCTTCACATATAAAGTGGAACAGTGGTAGCTAAGTGACATAATTTATATAAAGTGTTTGGCAAGCATAAACGTTCGTTCTTTTCGCTGCCTTTGACACAAGTGTCTTCATTTTGGCCACTCTAGTGAGAACATGTCAAGTTGCCTGCAAGCGTTTTATTCTCCTCTGCATATTGCACTGTGCCCTACAAAACAACAGCATTGGCAAAGCAGGGAAGTACTCGTTTTTGTTTGGTTTGTGCACAACCCCTTACCCTCTTTTTTTCTCCATCTGTGACTATTTTATTGTAAAGTTCTGATTAAAGTCTAATATTTTTCAAATGTCTTTGTTGATAATCAAAAATTTACAGTGAGTCTCAAAGCACACTCTGGTAATATAACTAATAACAGTAATCTTAGAAGTGAAGAGTATTAAAAAGTTGCTGCTGACTTTTATTTTTTTGTTTTTTTACTTTTTTTTTTAAGAGAAGCAGAAGACGTTAAAAGCTGTTTGCTGACTTTTAAGGTTTAAAATAGTTACAAGAAGTTTGAAATTCTTATGATTGATTATCTCACCCACAGCAGATTCAATCATTATATATTTCCCCTGATAATCGACTTATTATTTAGATCTATTCCAGTAGGAACAAAAGTTAATTATGACAAAATTTAGATTGGGGTGATTGACAAGTAAAAAGGGCACAAATAAGTGATAGTTGGTATCCAACACATCCAGATGCCATTAATCTTGGTTCCCTTCCTCTTAGCATTCATTGCCTGAGTCATGACTGCTGAGAGTTATGATAAAGATCTATGGGAAGAGTCAGACATAGCACTCATCCACTGCCAAAATTTACCAGTAAAAACCAAGATGTTGGGTCGGTTCATATCTGCTTCTGATTGGATTAGTTATAATGGAGTTTCCTTTATTTAACATTTATTTAATTTCCATGTGATGTCATTCAACAAGGGAGTTACACTGAAACTATGCTGTTTGCCTCTGACTATATCTTTTAAAGTTAATATAACCCATATTTACATACAAGTGATTTTATGATAATACACAATCTTTAGGATAAAGAAGGCAGAGGAGACATACACCATGGCACCGCTTTGGGAGAAATCGAAAGGTAAGCTGGCTCATTCTTTTTTCCACCACATGTCTTGGGGTGTCACATACTTATCTTTTTTATTTTTTAAATTTCCTTTCTTTTCTTTGATGTAATTTTCTTTGTTTTGTTACTACTTCTTTTAAGCTTTGTTTCTTTTATAAAATTACCGTGTTAGTTTCATTATAAATAGACCTTCATAATCTTGGGACCCTGGGATAGGCCCTCCTCATGTCACACTTGGGCTATTTAGTCACTTGCAAACTGGTCTTTTTGTTTTGCGTCTCTGACCTTTGAAATCCTTCAACAAAAGCCTAAAGCCTTGACCTCTAATTATATTACTCTCTTGAAAAACAAGGACTTCCTCATCACCCACAGACTAAAGTGTGAACTCTTTAGCCTTGTAATGAACCCTTTGCCATCTTCCCCCAACCTCCCTTTCTAGCTTTACCTTCTAATTATCATAGCATTTTCATGAAGCCTGTATATCTATGACATCCAGCTACGGAAACTTATCTATATAGTAACAGTTTTAGTCCCCAAAAGCTACTCTTAAGTCAAGTTATTCCTAAATCCATGGTGACTAAGAGAGTTTACAGCACCAAGGTATGTTTCTACCATGTTCAAAGTATGAGTTTGTTCTTCAAAACTTTAAAATCAGGCCTTCTCACTTCTGCATTTCTGATATGTTTGATCAGAACTTTGTTTTTCATAAATAGACATAGAAAAATTTGTTGAGGCAGGTAATTACACTTTTTAATGCTGTCTACAAGATGGTAGAGAGTTTCCTAGCATTCTGGCATCTATCCTATTGCCATGGCCCTTCTATATGTTACGGATTCATGAGGCATTATACCAAGGGAGCCTTATATGGCATGTGACATAATGCATATGTCTAACATTTAAGTTCTACTATAAACTCTTGGCCATTTCTTGAAGTAATTTTACCCAAAGTTAATGGTAAAGATTCTTGAACTCTATAATCAAAACTTTTCCATTTTGTTAATTATGTTTTCTTATTTTTTGTTGATTATTGTCCAAGCCAGGGTTTTTTAATGGTGACAGTATTAACATTTTGAACCAAACAACTCTTTGTTGTCAGAGTCTGTCCTGTGCATTGTAGGATGTTTAGTAGCATCCATGGCCTCACCAGATGCCACTAGCACCCCTCAAGTTGTGAAAATCAAAAATATCTCTAGATACTGCCAAATGTCCCCAGGGCAACAAAATCGCTCCTAGATGAGAACCACTGGTCTAAGCATAACACCTTTAACATTATATGTTATTTGCCATTGTGCTTCAGACTATTGAATGATTCATCCTTTACCTATATGCAACAATTATTCCCTTAGAATTTTAAGATTTTTATAATCTTACTTATTTTTAATTTTTATCATAATCATTATTGTCTTCCTCTAGTGCTGCAGTCCCCAACCCCCGGGGCTGCAGCCCAGTACCAGTCCATGGCCTGTTAGGAAATGGGCCACGCATCACCATCTGAGCTCCACAACCCCCCCACCACCCCACCGACACTCCACCCCCCATCCCTGGTCTGTGGAAAAATTGTCTTCCATGAAACCGGTCCCTGGTGCCAAAAAGGTTGGGAACTGTTGCAAGTGCATTCGTCACTTTCATGATTTTGTACTTATGGAATAATGCAATTAAGAGAACACCTCCAAACAAAACAACAAAAACTAAAATTACCAAGTAAGGCATCCATTGACATTGTCGGTAGCAGTCAGAATTGAGTTGTTCATAACTTTGTAAGTTCAGACTGCGAAGTTCATAAGGTTAAGTGTTCATGAATTCTTCCTTGGATTTTTTCCCTCTGAATTTCCATATACTATAAACAACTTCTGTAATCAACAGACAGCATAAGATAAAAATATAAATGTTAATTAGAACAAGAGACATTTGTTTTGCATCTTGCCCAAATATTTACTTGCCATTTTCCAACAGGCCAACTTTATGGCTTCTGTGTCTTACTCACCTTTGTATCCCTGCGGTGCCAATACTAGTTTCTACAACAAATGGAGTCTTTAGTATTTACTGAAGTATTTCCTTGTTTACTTGTTGAAAATTATTCTCCTTCAGAGTCATACAAGAAGGCAGTTCCTTTATGCATTCACCAAATATGAATCAAGTATCTCAATGTGCCAGGCATTGTTCTAGGTGCTTGGGCTTAGGGTACATCCCTGAATAAAACAAAGATCATTGCCCTGCTGTAGCTTATAGTCTGTTGAGAGAATATAGCCAACAAACACAAAATACAGTAAGAGAGTCTATTGTATAGCATATTCGAATGTAAGTAAGTGCAAGAGAAACAACAAACAAAAATAGGGAAAGGGAAGTCAGGAGATCTGGGTAGAGAAGGGTAATTTACAACTTTAAATGGGTTGGTCAGAATAGGTTTAACTGAGAGTGATATTTGGGCAAAGACTTGAAAGAGGTGAGGGAGTTAAATTATTCTCTTGGGGCCACCAAAGGCCCAAGACAGGATGGTGCCTGGCCGGCTGGAAGAACAGGAGCCCAGTATGGCTAAGTAGTGGAAGACGAGGTAAGAAAAATAATGGAGTAACTGATCATGTAGTGCTTTAGAAACGATTTCTTATTTAACTCTGATCAGAATGAGGATCATTCCACTGAATAATGTTAAAAAAGAATAATTTTAATGTGATCTAAATTTTTCAAGGATTACTATGGCAACTGTCATCTGTTTCAATAGTTATACCTCTTAAAAAATGACCCTGAGAACTTTCTCCCGTGGCTCTAAGGGACAAGCTTTTATCAGTCCATCTTTACAGTAGACAAGTCTAGAGAAGCCAGCATCCTGGAGGAATAACCAAAGAGAAGGAGCCCAAATTCTATGAGCAATTTTCCCTCCACGTGTTTGTCCATCCCCAAGTGGTTGTGTGCTAGTCAGTATTTCAGGAAATCAAGCAGAAAACAGCTTCCATGAGGCTTAAGAACTGAGCAGAGATTTCAGTAACATAGCGCCTGCCGTGGAGACAGAGGTGGGAGTTTAGGACTGCCAAGATGGAGGGCCCTTGGTAAACACTCCAGGGTTTCAGTTGAAACTCCTGTAGGGCTACACACTGAATAAAGGCATACCATAACTAGTCTAGCTTTAAAAAAAAAAAATCCTAAAGTCCAGGCCAGACATGGTGGCTCACAACTGTAATCCTAGTGCTTTGGGAGGCCAAGGCAGGAGGATCAGTTGAGGCTCGGAGGGAAGGCTGAGGGGGGAAGACTGCTTGAGCCCAGGAGTTTGAAGTTACAGTGGGTTATGATTGTGCCACTGCACTTCAGCTTGGATGACAGAGCAAGACCCTTTCTCTAAAAAAATGTTTTTTAAATTAAAAAAACAAAAAAATTACTAAAATCTAGTAGTGCTGGAGTAAAGTGATCTTCCTGCCGGAAGAAAATCAAATTTTCTCTAAGGACTACAAGATAGACCAGAGCCTTATAGGTTTTCATATACAATGTCTAGCGTTCAATCAAGATTTACCAGGCATGGGGTGGGGGCGGGGAATAATGACAAAAAACCAAGAGGAGAAACAGAAGACAGAAACAGACCTACAAGTGATCCAAATATCTTAGTCTGTTTGGGATGCTATAACAAAATAGTATAAACTGGGTAGTTTGTAAACAACAGAAATTTGTTTTAGTTAGTATCTTAGCAACAAGGCTGTGCTTAGCTCTTAATCAAGCTGAGAAATGTCATCTATACCTGGATGACCATGTGCCCAGTTAAAATTCCATTACAGAGGAAGGAGCAAAAAGTTTTGAGAGTTAGGCTAATAATCTGCTACAATTCCTTTTAACTTAAAATTTCTAACTTTCTATTATAGGTATTTGGAAATGTAGTTAATTTTTGCAATTTGATCTTATAACCATCCTCTTTCCTTTTTGTTCTACCCTTCTCTGGATTCAGTATCTAGATTATAATGGCCTCATGGAATGAATTGGGGACTATTTCCTCTTTCTATTTCCTGAAGGAAATGACCTAAAATTGGAATGACCGTTCTTTCTTGAAAGTCTGATAAAATTTATTTGTAAAGTTATTTGGGTTACTCATTTTCTTTGGGGGAATCTTTTAATATTGATTCAATCATTTTAATTTTAGGACTCTTAAGGCATTCTAATCCTTCAATCAGTTTTGGTAAGTTATATTTTCTAGAAAATTTTGCTTTTTGTGTAAGTTTTAAAATTTATTAATATACAGTTTAGTCTTTGCTTTATCTGTAATTCTATCCCTCTTTTCCTAATATATATTTGTGCCTTCTTTTTTTTTTTTTTGCTTGATTAACCTCACCAGAGGTTTTCCTTTTTATTAGTCTTTTCGATTAAGAATTTTTGTCTTTTTTAAAAATCTCTTTTATTGTAACTTTCTTTTCTACTTCATTGATTTCTTCTCTTTCCTATATGTTTTCTTCCATGTTCTTTGGGTTTACTCTTTTCCTAATGTGTATCTTATACCTAGCCTATAAATTTTCAATCTTCTTTTCTAACATAGGAATTTTAGGGTACAAATCTCTCTATGTGCAACTTTTTCTGCATCACACAAGTTTCATGATAGTTATAATTTAGCTATAAGTATTTTTTATGTTCATTATGATTTCCTTTTTGACTGATGGATAATGTAGAATGTGTAAATTTCTAAATATTTGAGAATTTTAAATTTATTGTTAACAACTTCTAACTTAATTGCATTTGTCTGTATGATACTGACCCTTTGAAGTTTTTTGTCAGGTTTGCTTAATGCCTAGAATCTAGTTATTTTGTTGCTGGAGGGTCTTTTAAAGTGTCAGGTCCATTGTATAGCTAAGAATAGGAGTCCTGATTATATTCTTAATCCTCAAGTCTCTCTCTCTGAACTTCTCACTCATATTACACCTGCAAATAAAACAAAACAAACAAAAAATAACAACCACATGGGAGAGTTTAAGACAGGTTTTTTTTACACTTGAAACTGTGTGATGTTAAATAATAATATTTTAAAGCACTATGGGTCAGTATATTATTTTCAAAGCGTTATATGTTTCTAAATAGAAATGTTTTTACATATTTATATATTTAGAGGCAATATGTATTGATTACATGGGAACTTTGAGTTTGAGATCTGGGTTCCAATCTTGCCTCTAACAGTTACTGGGTATGTGCTCATGGGCAAGTTCCTTAACCTCTCTAAATTGTCTTTTTAAAATCTGAAATTTGAGATAGTACTTGCAGTTGTTTGTATAAAACAGATGTAAAGTATTTGACAAAGATCATTCAATAAATGCCATCCATCATTATAACTACCACTCCATAAGAGAAGCTTGATGAACGCTGTTTCAGTTAAGTGAATGATTTATTTTACTTTACAATTTTACCGTTTTACTCAGCATTTATGGGAAATGATTTTATTTGAAGAAAATAAATTGATAAGCACGTAAAGCATGAAATGAGTTATTTATAGAGATTGTGCCTTTTACTTTGCAATAAATTCCACAGCCATCCCATGTTTTAAGAAGTACCTCACAGACTCAGATTTAATTTTATATAATTAAATACAAGCATTTAAGGGTTTTTTTCAGCTAAATATGTTTTTAGGTGACTTGCTATCACAGTCACAGTCCCTTTAGAAAGTAAGCATTGGCATTTCCAATTCAAAGTATATGTTGTGTGAAGAACTAGTAGTGTTTAATAGTCATTCACGCACACTGAATTTTATAGAATATCATTCATGTGTGCCCAATTTAATTTTAATAGCGTATTACCCCACCCTCACCCCCAGGTTCTAGCTTCAGTGATCCTCTCACTGGAGCACCATCTCAGTACCTACAGAGGCTTTCCAGAATGGCCATACTGGAGTATGATACCATTCGTCAGGAAACAACCAGAAAATCAAAAAAAGACAAGAAAGGAGAGCTACGAGACTGCTGATGAATACCACACAGTGTGATGCTTTTTTCACTGACTTTTAAGATTTATATTTTTTCTTCTTTTTTTTAAAATATGTGATATGATGCATAATGATTTACATGGAAATGTAAATGGAAATAAAAATGGAAATGTAAATAAGAAATAAATACTTTGTGTTATAGATGGAATAATTTGTATTTTGTTAACATTTCAGAGACATTTAAATTATGATTTATGGGAATATAAGCATAAGAGAAATTACATTCCATGAATTTTATGCATGTTGATTACATCTTTTGATTCAATTTGATAAATACTTTTTGAGCGCCTGTCCTGTGCCATGAACTTTACAAGCTGCAGCAGAAGGTTTGAGGAAGAGCGAGTCCTTACTGTTGAGGTTGGAAGGGGATCAATAGGACCCCCTCCTTTTCCCTGCTTGGGTTTAGAAACAGTGTGAGGTAAGTATTCGGGCAGCGAAGATCAAAACATTAGCTTGGTTTGCTGGCTGACTGTCTGGGGAATGGGAGACCCTGTCGTGAGTGTGTAGCAACAACAGGCCTTCCAATCCTGATCTTCAGAACGGGGCAGATGTGCACACCTGGGCGGTGCTGGTGACCTCGGGCTCGCCTGCCGCACCAGGGCCTTCACTGCAAGCAGGACAGGCTCTCCACTGCGAGGACAGGCAGATCCCACAGGGGAAGGGCGGCTGGGGAGAGACTCCAAACCCCTCCTCGAGAAAGCCCGAGGAGTGGGGAGGAGTGTGTGTCTGTACACCTCCCTGAGAAAAGGGGACAAATCAAGGATACCAGTGACTGTGATCCCAAGGAGAGTGGGCTCCAGGCCATAAGAGACCACGGGGTATTACAGAAGTTCAGAAACAGGGCAGTAACATCCAGAAGGGTGGAAGAGAAAGCTTCACAGAAGATGTGATGTTTGAAATGGGACTTAAAAGTAGGAGAGATGGAAGAAGAGGGCATTTTTAGAAAGAGGAGAAAATATAAGTAAAGATATACTATGCATTTGGGAATGATGCACGTGACCGGAGCACTAGGTAGTATAGAACAAGCGTCATAAATTCAGATGTGTGCAGGCACCAAGGCAGTACCAGATTGAGAGACACCGGTCAGGTGTAGGCTGTGGTGAGCTGGCACCTGCTTCTCCATCTGGAAGAGCACTGGCTGCCTAGCTTTGTGCCACATAGGTCCAAAGTGCCAGATGTTCCGACTTTTCATGAGAAGCCAGAATCTGGATTTTTATGTGAAACCTTCCAATGAATGTATAATGCTAGCAACTAATTTGAAATAAGCAACTAATTCAAAACGTATGAATCCATTGTATGGACCAAAGAAAATTACATGTGCAAGCCAGATCTGGCTTTCTGGGGCCATTCATTTACAGCTTCAGGGACAAAGGAATAGATGACAATGGGGCTTAAAAGATAACTTGATGACAGATGATAGAAAATCTCCGATGCCAAATGTGAGTTTATATTTAACCTATTTCCCAGTGGGAGATTTGAGAATGAAAGTAAATAATTGCTTCTGTGATTTGGGAAGATTCATCCAAGTATATTTGTAAGCTAGATTGTGATGGGAGGACACTGAAGGTTGGGAAACCAGTTAGGAGGTTATTATAGAAATGAAGGTAAGAACATGTCAGTAGAAGGATAGAAGCAGGAATGGGAAGGAAGGACCTTCTCATTAGGATAGCAAGGCAGAGGACCTCAGATCAACTGTTTAGATGCAGAATATCAGGAAAGAAAGAATCAAAACCAGCTCAGATTTCCAGTCTTAGAAATAAGAATCTCAGGAGGAGGTGCTAGTTTTGGGGGAGTAAGAGGATGAATGGAACGTAGGGTGTACTCAGTTTAGGGTGCCATCAGGATGTCCACATAGAGATGCCAAACAGGTATTTGAAAAGTAGGTCTGTCAGTATGAGAAAAGATATTGAATAGAGTTAGAACTTCAAGAAACTTTTGCATAGCAAAGACTGAGTTTTACCTGATAAAACAGTGGAGAGAGAAGAGAGCCCCAATTCAGAAGGGATGGGAGGAAATAGGAAGAAGACAAAAGAAGAAGAAGGAAGAGGAACTATCACAGATACAGGAGAATGAGCATATCCCATGTTCTTGTATGCTTTATATTAATGTATACAAATATACTATTAATATGTATGTGTTTGTTTGCATTATTGTGAAGCACTAGTTCCTAGGGGGATAACTATTAATACGTAAACTTAAATGGGTATATTTGTGCTTACATCTGAATTTTGATTGAGAATGATTTAAATATCACCTGTATCTTTTCAATCTTCTGATCACCTCCTCCAAGTGTGGTCAGTGATTTAAGCAATAGCAAGCAGGTGGAAAGTTATTCTCAAACAAAAATTTGGTGAACGTTTTTTTGGATGAACACTTCTAAACACCTTTGATTATCAGATGGATTTCCTTTATTGAACTACTGTGTCTCTACACATTTAATATTATTTATAAACCTTACGAAAACCCTAAAAATAGGTAGAGGATATTATTCTTGTTTTATAAATGAAGTAAATTTAGGGTCTTTGTTTTACACTAGGTCTCTAGCCAGCAAATGGGAGGATTCTAGCATTCTAACCTACTAGAATTCAAAGTTCATAATCATAAACTCCATGAAAGAGTAATTTAAAAAGCCTTAAACTTAGCTGATATGTGTAATCATGGTTTAATCACTTAAAATTTAGGGCAAGATAGTATTTCCACAGACAAAAATATCTCTTAATATTGAGTTGAGTTCCTGAGTTATGATACTAACACATCTTGGAGCATTTATACTAGTAGAGTGGAAAGCTGGGATCGTGTACATGGATAATTATGTCTGTCTCCCATCTTCCTATAAAATAGTTCAACTCAAGCCAATTCAAGAAAGGAGTGGAATGTTTATTTCTTTTTAATGAGATGTGCTGACAATAATTAATCACCTTTTTAGCCTTCAGATAAAATTTAATTTAACTTATGTTTTTCATTAAATCCTTTTTTATAAAAAACCACAGGCTCTACTTCCTTAAATTACATTTACTTTTTTTGTTCCTTACGAAGTTTTTTGAAAAACCAGCATGTATTAATACACAGAAGGCTGAAATCACCCCCAAGTAAGGTAAACTCAAGATTCAGAGATAAGAATGAGATGCCAACTTCTGATAATGCAGCTACCATGGATGTTAAACTTATGTTTGAGATTGAGTACAATCCTTCCAGAAATGACTCTTTTGCAGTTGTGATTTGGAAGTATAAGCAATATCAATCATAACCTTGGGAAACTGTACCTTATGATAAATATTTAGGATAGGAAGATAGAGTCCTGATTTTAGGCTGAGAAAACAGTTCTTTACAAAGAATAATTACTTCAGTGAAGGACAAATCATTACTCAGTGATAGTTGCAAAGAAATTTTCTAAGACCCGCTTCCTTTTTTCTACTTCTCTGCTCACTAAGCAGTCTTCTCAAATGTGTTTTAGACCCTGAGTAAATATATCCACTAAAATGCAGATGCCTTCTTTGGATGGCATGTCTTAGATCTGGGATGGGCTATGTTAATTAATGTGTTGCTATTCTGACTCCTGGTACCTGTGAATTTGGTTGGTGTGAATTGGTACACATACCGTGATCATCAAACTAATGAATTGAGGGCTTTTTAAATTTTATTTTATTTTATTTTATTTTTGAGAATCTCACGCTGTCGTCTGGGCTAGAGTGCCATGGGGTCAGCCTAGCTCACAGCAACATCAAGCTCTCGAGCTCAATCCTCTTGCCTCAGCCTCCCAAGTACCTGGGACTACAGGCACACGCCACTACGCCCGGCTAATTTTTACTATTTTTAGTAGAGACAGGGTCTCACTCTTGCTCAGGCTGGTCTCGAATTCCTGAGCTAAAGCGATCCTCCCACCTTGGCCTCCCAGAGTGCTAGGATTACAGGCGTGAGCCACCTCGCCCGGCCTGAAGGCTTTTTTTAATTAGAAAAATCACTTTAGAAATATTGAAAAATAATATACAATTTTAGAGATATCAGCAATGTAGCATAGTACTAAAAGAAACTCTAAAATCACCTCGAATCTCACTACTCATAAATAATATCAGGTGAACATCTTTCTTTTTCTGTATCTTTGCAAATAGAGGAGAAACACTTTTATTAAAATGGGATGATTCCATGCATGCTACGTTTAAATAAAGTTATTCAACTTAATTTTTACCAATATAAGAAAAACTTAAGTGAAACTGAGGACACTGCTTAAATTCAAATATTAATTTAAAAATTATATATCATAAATCTATATTTAAATCCAGTTTTAGATTAATCTTTGGATCTAGATCTTCTTTCTTAAAAGATTCCTCCACAAGGCTTTTCAAACTGAAGCATGCTTCCAGATCTTCTGCAGAACTTGTTAAAATCCTGATTCCTGTAGGTCTGGAGTGGAGTCTGAGAACCTGCATTTCTGACAAGCTCCCAGGTGACCACACTCTCAGTAGATCTGCCTTAGAATCATGCGCATCTGGAGTCCCCTGGTGAACTTTGCAAACTACCATTGTCTGGGCTGTACCCTTAGAGATTCTGATCTAATTGGTTTGGGGTGGCCTCTCAAACACAGATAATTTTTTAAAGATTCCCAAGGAGCCTAATGTACAGCTATGTCTGAGAACTATTGTCGTAAGGTTGAGAGATTATGAAAAATATTCAGCTGTCTATAGAAAGCTTTAGAAGAAAAACAAAACAAAACAAAAAAACAAAAAAGAAAAATATTCAGAGATTGAAATGGCCATTTTTCTTCCCTTCAGGGCTTTATGGAGGTTATTTCATTGTCTTCTGGTATTAATTGTTGCTGTGCAGAAATCTGATTCCTCACAATGTTTTATCCCTTAGATTATTTGCCATTCCTTCCTGGATGTCTGAAGATTTTCTTGATTCTTGAAACTGAATCAGAATATGATTCACTGTAGGCTGTACCGATTCAAAATGTCCTGGAACATGGTGTGTTCTTTCAAGGCTGCTGATTCAATTCTTTCTACATTTTGGGGAAATT